GGGCAAGAATGAATTGACGATAGTGTGGTCAAGGAAACTGATGAACATTTGGATGGTACTGACAACTAAGTGAAAGAATAGTATAATAATTAAAACCAAATTTTAATTATTTAATTAAACCAAAATATACAACAATATCTAAAGAAGGTGAACAGAAGCCTTTATGTTATTTAGGAGGAAGATAAAATAACAAGCATTGAGAATTTAAATCTAATATTCATGGAAAAAAAGTAAGAGTAGTAAATTAGCAGAAAAACATTCAAACCAGTAGAAAGAGTCCAATGAATTAAGAGAAACTTCAGTCAATACCAAAGATGATAAAATACAAGGGAGGCAGCACAGAAAAAGAAAAGCAGAGAAAAGGCTTTTAAAAATGGGAAAGCATCTCTTAACATATCTTTCAACTCTCATCAGCAAAGCTTCCTCACACAACAGAGGGCAATGAACACAGAAGGCCATAACTGGCCAAAGTGTAGAGAAAAAGAGACTTCAGAGATTGTGTCCCTGGACAGGACTCCTATATTGAACCTCACCCACTCAGGGCTCAGGGACCATTGTGGAAGAGGGAGCAAAAAGACTGTAAGAGGCAGGGGAGGAGGTGCATGACCATAAGGAAACAGAGACTTAAAGGTTCCTAGGACCTTGCCCATATGATCTTACAACAATGGTGACAAGACCCATCACAAGACCCATCAAACTCAATCAGCATAGAACTTGGGAAATGGGCAGGAGGCCACAACTTTGGTGAGGAATTATTGGCAGCTGATCACTGCCAGGAAAGAGAAAATTGATCTTCTTTAAGGGAGTGACACCAGACAGGCTGAACAGGCTCCAGTGAATGAACTTACATGAGGGACCTCTGGGTACACAAACTTGACTGGATAAGTCAACATATATGACAAAATGCATGAAATCCTGTGGGAGGGCTATGAGGGTAGGGTGCAGATAGGGTAGGGGAGGTTGAATGTGATTAAGATGTATGAAATCCACAAAAATTCAATAAAAATATACTTAAAATGGAAAAGCAAAAATGAGTCTTAAGAAAGAGAGCATTTATGATGGTCACAGGGAATTAGAAAACAATGACAAGGAACTGTCCTGGAACGTGCAGCCAGAAAGAAATGCTTAATGGGTTGCTTTGAATGAGAGCCCTCCATAGGTTCCAAGTATGTGGACACTTGTTCCCCGGTTCATGGTGCTGTTTAGGGGAGGGTCATGGAACCTTTAGGTGGTATGGCCATGCTGGAGGAAGCACATCACTGGGGGTGGGCTATGCTGGAGGAAGCACATCACTGAGGGTGGGCTTTGAGAGTTCTTAAGCCTTGCCAGATTTCCAAGCTGGTTCTCTCTACTTCCTATGCCTGCTTGAAGTTGTCATGACTCAGCTTTCTGCTCTAGTCATCTCCTGCCACTAGGTCCCTCCCACCATTATGGACTGTCCTTCTGGAACCATAAGCCAAATAAATTCTCCCTTCTATAAGTAGCCTTGGTCATGATGCTTATTATAGCAACAGAAAAGTAACTAATACACTTTGGAAATCAGTAGAGAACAAAGAAGGAAATTAGAGGACTTGTCCAATAAGGTATAGTATTTAAACAAAAAGAGTTCCAGAGAGGAGAAAGAAAAGGTAGAAAGGAGGGGATTCATTATAAGAAGAAATTATCAAGACAGAAAGAAAAAATGCTTTTTCAGCTCAAACAAGGTCAATCAGTCAATACCTACCAGAATGTAAGAAAAGGGCCCCATACTAATGCATTTGATCAGACCCTTTCTAAAATAAAATATGGAGAACAGAAAGTGGGGGTGAAACTTCAAACATAATCTGGCATCTGCAGGAGTTAACAGGAGATTTGGAAAAGGAGAGCTCAGAACACAGGACAAGACACAGAATAAAAGTGGCCCTCCAATCCTTTCTCAGAACAGTCTTCCCACCACACTCAGCCATGGGCTAGAGCAGCCTGGAGAAACATGGCTTCAGTGTGTCGATGAAGCAGATCCTGAAATTCAGCCGCCTTCAGACAACTACGTTTTGCAGCGTTTAGTGAGTTATTAACAATGGGCCAAGTAGTGTTAAAGGGGGAGCCTTGATCTGCAGTAGTTGCTTTCTGCAGTGTAAGTATTCCCACTGTGGCCAACTTCAAGCCACTAGGGCACTATCACTGAATCTTGAGCTTGAAAAAAGTGGGGACAACTGGCTTTCCAAGCCAGGAGTAAGGCCCAGGACAGTGCTGACTGAGCCCTGCACAGCAAAGCGAAGGGAGATGTAAGCAGCATTCCTCCTCAGCTCCCATCCTCACCAACCCAGCGTTTAATACAGTTTTGATCTTTACAGTGATAACTGAAAGTGGTATTTACTCTGCCTTGTCTCTTAGATGAATGGGGGTGAGCATTTTTTTTTTTTTTTTTTTTTTTCCCTTTTGAGACCAGGTCTTACTATATAGCCCTGGCTGGCCTGAAACTTCTTATGTAGACCAGGATGGCCTCAACTCACAGAGATCTACCTGGCTCTGCCTTCTGAGTGCATGCACCACCACACACAGCCTAATGATGAGTATCTTTTAATATAGTTCTACACTGATATATTATGATATAATTAAGCATACAATCATGAATGTATTTTATTATTATATAAAATATTTACTGTGTTTTTTTCTATGAATTAAGTCAAACATATGCCCTGATTTATTTTAATCAACTAGCAAAAAAAACATGGACTTATGATGTACACATTGTTGTGAAGTATATATACATTAGAGAGTAACCAAATATAGCTAATTAATATATTCATTATCTCTATTATCATTTTGTGGTGAGAATACTTATTCCTTGCTATGGCTAGAAGTTGACCACCCCTCAGAAACCCATATTAGGCTTGGTTCCCAGGGTCCTACTATAGAGACCTTTAAGAGGTAAGACCTAAGGGAAAGTCCTTAAGTCATTGGGAGTGCTCTCAAGGTGGATTGTATGACTGCATATGCCACCACATGCTCCCACCAATGCTGTCTGCCATCCTCATCAGAGACCCAAACAGGGTCTGCCCAAACTTGTGTTTGAGCCTCTAAAACTATGTGTAAAATAAGTTCTTTTCTGCATAAATAATCTGTCTCTGGTATTTTGTTATAGTGATTCAAATTTGACTACTAGCCTCCCACTCTCTTACATCTGTTCCCTCTTTCAGCACTTTTTAACAATATAGTATATTGATAACTGTCATATGGCAAACTAGATCTCTTGAATGCCTCCCTCCTATCCAACTGGCATTGTGTATTCTTTGATCAACATCTTTCAAACCCTCCTTCAAACACTCCAGGCAACTGGTACTACCACTCTATTCTCTACTTCTGTGAAATCAACTTCATTAGAATCCACATATGACTGTTTTTATTCAAATCTTTATGCCTATGTTCTAAGTAACTGAAATTATAACATGCTCATGTAATAATCCATGCAGTAAAAGAAATGCTTTTTTAAAGCTAAATAAGAATATATTTCTTTTACTTGACCTAGAGTTTTAACATCAAATATGAATCTAGATTTCTGATAAAATGAGATTTTTAACTAAATCTGCCAAATGAAAACAGAGGGTAGAGAATCACTTCATATGACCATTTGTCAGTCAAAGTAGTCTCTGGATATCAGTATACATAATTTAATTGTAATGAGCTTGCGATTTATGATTTCTTTGATTTATCTTTGAAAAGAAATTTTAAGATGCTTTTAAATTGCATTGTCATAGCCCCTTCCCTGATTGTCTGAGGGGTCTAAGTGTTCTGTGCCCCCCCCATCACACTAATAGGACAGCTTGTGTCTTTTAACACACTCCTGAGGGTAAATTTGAAAGAAATAACTGAATTTTTAACAATTTCATGTAGACAGAATCCAAAATTAAAGAACTGTTATCATTCCTGTCTCCACAATTTTAAAGTAACATTAAATGTGCAATATCAAAAGTCACCATACAATTTAGGGGAAATAAATTTTAATATTAATGTAGTTGATTAAACACCAAAATTTTATGGACAAAAGTCAACGAATTTCAATCCGAGTCCCAGCACAGATTAGGCAACAACAGAGAGTGGAAATTTTTCCAACTGAACTTTGAAACAAGGACACAGCAAGACCTTCAGGAAAAGCATTTTGGTAACATTATCATTATTAAAAACATTTTAACAACAGATATTCTGTATTGGCTCATTTATACTTTATTATTGGTTACGCCTTATTAACTCGGTGTAGCAACTTATAAGGCATCTACCCTTAAGTTAGAGGAGAAGGAGCAGTGAACAGATGGGTCTTTTCAGATATTACAGGTCTAAACCATTCTATTTTCATAAGGACAGAACCTGGGTTAGGCCACATATCAGAAGTCATCAAATATACTTTCTACCTACAAATGTATTCATGCCAAATGAAAGCAAAAGCAGAAATCACCACGGCAAAAATTCAAAAAGCACTCTTCTGTCAAGCTACGTTCACCTTTGTGTCAATCCTAATACTGCCACCACTGTATCTTGCAAGAAGGAGTTGGAAGATCTTCGGAGGCAAGGAGTTTTCAAATGCTACATCAAAGAGAATACCTTTTGTCCTCTTTAAAACCATCATCTGGCTTGCAAAATACATTTGACTCCAAATGCTGCCATTTTGATTCTTTTCCTCCTTTTCCTCCTCCTCCACCTCCCCCTCCTCTTTCTCTTCCTCTACCTGTTCCTCCTCTTCTACCTCCTCCTATTCCTCATCCTTTTCCTCCTCTTCCTCTTCATCCTCCTCTTCTTCCTCCTCCTATCACAACTTTTAATCATAGTCATTTTCCTAGTACTTAGCATTTTCAGCCAATCATGGGGAAATGGATAAAATTAATTTAAGATAGTCAAATATAATTTATTGAAAGTGCATAATAAGGCAGGGGTTGGAAATGTTAACTCAAAAGACATTTGTATCCTCTGTGCTTTCAAAACATATGGCCCACAACATTTCAAAACCCAAAATCAAAAAAGCTTACCTCATCCACGTTCTCGAAGGCATTGATGATGTCATAAGGTAAACAAGACAGCAGGTCAATCACAAACCAAGTTTTCAGATAGTTCATCCTTATGAGCTTAGGGTCAGAAATGACCTCACCACCAGGTCCCACAAAGGTTGTGTGAAAATTTAAAACTATATCAACCAGAAAAATAACGTCCACCACACTGTCCAGCACCAGCCAGGCTATATTGTTCTGCTTCGTTTTGAAAGAAACGTTGTAAGGAACCATGATGGCGGTGTAGAAGGTAAGAATTAAAATCACCCAATCCCAGGTAGTTTTAAAAGCACAATAGTGTAAAATAATGTGTGGTGGCGTCTTTGGCGCTTCTTGCTTATACTGAGGAAGGATATCTGATCCCAGCTGAAGAACCTGAAAGAGAGGAGAGGCGTGTATAAATGATCCAGGCGCCTCTCTAGTTAGTAATGACTACAAACCTGGGAGTCAGGACACAGTCTGAGTCTCATGATTCTTGATTTTAGGGCCAACCATGAGTGTAAAATAATGTGTGGTGGCGTCTTTGGCGCTTCTTGCTTATACTGAGGAAGGATATCTGATCCCAGCTGAAGAACCTGAAAGAGAGGAGAGGCGTGTATAAATGATCCAGGCGCCTCTCTAGTTAGTAATGACTACAAACCTGGGAGTCAGGACACAGTCTGAGTCTCATGATTCTTGATTTTAGGGCCAACCATGAGCTATTGACAGCTCTACAGGAAGGTAACCCCACCTTCAGTTTTCAGATGACCAAACGGAGGCAGCTCACATTGGCCAGATGGCAGGGCAGGCATCAGATCTGGAATTTGTTAAATTCTCTCTTTTTCTCTTTTTTTCTCTCTCTCTCCCTCCCTCCCCCCCAGACTGTTCTAAAGTTTCCTCAAAGGAAGCTACAGCAATTTCAACAACTCCACAATTTCATCTGTCTACTCTTCCACCTGCACTGCTCTGACCCATGGTTCTGCTGGATGCCCACGCCTGGGTGCCACACCTGAGGAGCTTCTGCACATCCACTGTGCAAGCCTGGCCAGAGCCCCATAGCTCTGATCAACTGTCCCACTGTTATCTGAGTGACAGGCCATCATCCATAACTCGAACTTATTTAGCACCTTAGGAAACATACTTTTGATTTTGATCGCCTTTCTGAATCCCAGGGCCCCACTGTTGGGGATGGTGCTGTCCAGTATTACTCAGCAAGGGCCCTGATGGCTAGCACAATAGTGTCAAGCTATGGCATAACCTGCTCTTCCCTTTGTCTCCTAAACCAGGAATTTTTAAAATATTGTGTTTAGTGGCTGGAGAGATGGCTCAGTGGTTAAGAACACTGACTGTTCTTGCAGAAGACCTGGGTTCGAATTCCAGCACCCACATGGCAGCTAACAACTGTCCATAACTCCAGTTCCAGGGGATCCAACACCCTCTCTGTCCTCTGTGGGCATTGCATGAAACGGGTGCACTTACCTACATGCAGGCAATACATGCACACACATATGATAAAAATAATAAATAAAATATTAAAAAATATATTGCATTTTTGTCAAGTGCAAATTTCCTTCAGAAAAAAAATACTAAATATCAGGTTTGTTTCTCCATACCTGCTTAACAAATACAAAAGTTTCAGTGCAAGTTATTATGAACTTCAATTTATTCTGTTGGACTAATTAAAGGAAGAGAAGGAGAAAAGTAGATGACATGAGCACGCTTGGGCTGCAAATGGCCCTGCTGGCCAAAGCTAACACAGGATTTAGCATGCCCTGCTGGATCCTGGGAATTGTGAAAATGAGTTGAAGGAGCACATCTAGAACATCTGCTTCCTGCCTTGAGTGAAACCAACGATGACGCACGTGTGGTGAGTGGGAATGTGTTAAAGGGCATTTCCAGTGGACTCTGAATACCTTATACAATCAATTATTCAGCACCTCTACACAAACAGAAGCCAGGAGGGAGGAGTCCAGATAATAAATGCTTAAGCCCTGAATATATAAATAAGCGAAGGAAAGCATGAACGTATAACTCTATGGCTTATCTTCCATCTACACACACACACACACACACACACACACACACACACATGCATACACGTGTGTGTGTGTGTGTGTGTGTGTGTGTGTACATGTAGCACCTTTTAAAAGTGTTTGAAGCCTTGGAGACTACCCTAAAATTTCTCATATATAGAGTTTACATAACTGAAAACTAAGTATATAATATCTTGCTATTTTCAATGTCAAAAATGTCACTGGTATTCTCTTGGATTGTATATAAAATTATTATTTTAGTTTGGGGTTATTTGAACTATTTTAAGGCTATTTTATGTACTTACCTACATTCTCAGTGCCCCTGGCATAGTTTTCCCCTAAGGTCTTAAATTGCATACTAGTAATTTTCCTACCAAGAATGTAAGCCTCATGTTGAGATGTAGTATTATACATAAAGACCCACATAATCATGGCATCTCTCTTACCTTTCAAACACTGTCATTTCCAATTTCACTGTGTGAAACGGAATAAAAGTTCTCGTTTCACCACCTCAGTCTATACCTTCTATAGTTCAAGTTCCAAAAGTGGTTCCATGTGTTTTTAAGTCTGCTTCACATTAGGATATTCTGGAGAGGCTTTGAAAAGTGTGATATACCCTCACCTAGACCCCATCCTCCAAAGGTTTATGACATTAGTCTTGTGTGGGTTTCAGAAAAATCTTTATTTTCAGAACTTTTCCAGGTGATGATGGTGTGTAGTTCGTTATAACATCTTCATCTTATATTTCGTTACACATTTCCAACTCAACTAGTCAGACAGAATTTGCATATGAAAAGTGTTCCAAGACTGCTAGATGAGGACGAAAAGCAAGCAGAGAAAGAAGGGAAAATGAAATAGAGGAAGAGGAGGAGGAAGAATGGCAAGGAAGGGGAAGGACCGCAAAGAGACACATAAGTGTCAGGCTTTGATCCCTGTCATACGCAGGGCATGTCTTCCATCTGAGCCCTATCCCTGGGCTCTTAGCAGGCCATAAGTGACAGTTGTTGCCTTCGGTTGTTTCACTTGCACTTTCTTAAGCAACAAGCCTTGGGGGAGTGAAGATAAAATTATATTTTCTGATCTTGTTTTTGTACCAATAGTCACATCATCCATCAGGAGATCTGAGAGCAACTACCTCTAATCAAGTCTGGCCCACTGATTAGAAAAGAGTGGGAATTTATCTCTGCCCAGGGTAAACATGAACCAGCTGCAGATATCAATGGATGTCGATGCACATAGGAATTAGTCAATTGCTTTCTTGGAGAATGGAATCTTTGAAGCTAGGGATCAGCTCCAAATTTAGGAGATCAGGTGGAATGAATCGATTTTCTGTGCCTTGAAAAAGTGAGAGTTCCTAACATCCATAGCAAATTACCTTGAGCCAATTATCTAAGTATTTCAGTGTAATAGGAGAAAAAAAACTCATTCCTGTGCTTTCTTGATGTTTCTTTTGGATCTTTTTTTTAACGTTTAAAAAAATTATTGAGAATTTCATACATATATATAAGGTGTTTTGATCAAATCCATGCCCACTCCCTCCCCTCCAACTCCTCCCATATCTCCCCATCACTTTTTCCTGACAACTTCATGTACTCTTTCTTTTTTTTTCATCTAAGAGTACACACTGCACTACCACAGACTAAAACTCTGTTGAAAACCTGGTTACTTCTGTCTTTTCTAAGAAATCAAACCTCAGTCCTGGGCAGAAAGCAATTTTGTGTTGGAATCAGATTTATGAATCCTAATTCATTAGCTTTTATTTACCTAAAAAACTATCAATAATCAAAGGGGGGGTCCAATGAAAAGAAGCAGGAGTGAAATTCCCCCAAAACAAAAATGAAATAATGAAATGTCGAGTAGAAACTCAGAAACTAAGGTTTAAAAACTCCCTGAATGTTTCTGAGTGCAGAGGCAAAAGATTTCCTTCTCATAGTCCCTTTCTGTCAGTGGTGCAACAGAGAACAGAAATCTCAGAATAAGGTTGTATGAGGCCTGAAGGAATCAGATTTAGAAAACTAAGCAGTCAGAGAAACAAACGCCTACTCTTCCACTTGGTTTATAGAAAGAAATGGACAATTCAAGCAGAAGGAAAGAAAATCCAAAACCCAGCAGGATTAAATAAGCATTTTCAAAAAAGGAAGTTCTATCTGATTATTTTCAATCTTTTCCAGCTGAAAATCATCTTTGTAAACACTCTGAATATTATTTAACATTATACTCATGTCCTTTTTTAATTTAAACATGTCTGTACCTCAAAGTATTCTGCTTTCCCCAAAATAACAGCATTATTCAGAAAAAAAAGGAAGAACTCTAAAAGGTCTATTTCGTCAGTAATGAGCTAAGAAAAATTCCAGAACTCTAAATTCAAAGAACATTATTTTATTTCCTAACTCCTCTAAGCTAGAGTTCGTATTTATGACTGATTAAGAAGTGCCTCAACTTACTTTGCCCTGGTAAAATGATGAACGTATGCATTTGATATTATCTTTCTCCTCTTCACCGTTAACTTAAAATATTTTTCTGAGTTCCCCCTATGAGCTCAGTATTGTTTTGGTAACTAGGGTGGGGGGGGTGCATGCATATATGTATGATTGTGTGGATGGGTCCAAGCCATGGCCAACATGTGGAGATCAGAAGACAACTTTCAGGTGTCCAGCCTCACCTTTCTATCTTCGAGTTTCTTATCTGCAGAAATCAAGATCACTAGCCAAAAGCTTCTGGAAATTCTCCTGTCTCTGCCCTCCCATTTCCAGTAGGCTCACTAAGATTCCAGACACTTAAGATTACTGTGTCTAGCTTTTTACAGGGGTTCTGGGCATCCAAACTCAAGTCATCAGGCTTGTATGGCAAGCACCTTTAACCACTGAGACATCTCCCCACCACCTTATCTTTTGACATCTTTCTTATCAGTAAGGCAAATGATTATTCCAGGAGACCTGTGATCCATAAAGCCCTCTGCCGCCTTGCAGTTCTGTCCTCCTCCTTTACCTCTGGTTTCCATGCACTTTCTCAGGGTAACACTGTCCAGTCCTCTGACTTTATCATACATACCTGTTGAGGATGCTACTAAGGCCTGCAACTTAAACATATTTATCCTTCCAGAGTGTAGGACTAGCAAATCCCACATATGCATTACCACTTGGATTTCCGGCAGGCACTCGAGCTTCACATGTCCAATGATGACTTCATTTCCAGTGCCTCTGGGGCCTTTCTGCCCTTCTCTTGTATTTCTCATTGCATTAAATAGCACCATCTACCCAGTGGTCCACCCAAAAGCATAGCCCTCTGCATTCGTTTCCTTGTTTCACATTCAGTTCCAGTCTATGAACAAAGGTGGACTTCCACCCTGGTGTGCCTGCTTATAGCCAAGGTTTCTGGCTAAATTACCACTGGTACTTCTTACTGTTTTTCCTATGTATTTATTCTGCACAGATCCAGTAGGTCAAGCAAGGGATCTCTGTCATTTGAATAGCTTCAATCCCTTTGGCATTCTGGTGAAGCTGTGGATCCAGAATGCTTTTTTAAAATACTGAAATAAAAGTATAGACTTGCAAACACCTGTGGACACTGACTTAATACAGTGGGCCTTAACAGAGATGACAGTGTATGTATATGGACTCCAGTGGCAGGGGGGTATGGGAGGGTGCCAGTGGGAAGGGGGCATAAAGATGATTAAGAATGTTTGAGATGTTCTGTATGAAATATATAAAAATTCAATATAAACAAATTTTTAAAAAAGAAAAAAGTGAAAAAGGCTTATAAAAGAAGCCAGTTGGAACCAATCTCCCTTTGAGAGATGCAATGTGATTTGTGAGTGCAAATGTGACTCTGTCATTTTCCTGGTACATGAAGCCTCCCTACCACCATCTCACTGTACCCAACTCTTTCTTCTCTACCTGAATCAGTTATATGAAACCCTATCAAGGCACATACTATCACTTCTCTGGGCCTTTGCACATGCTGGCCTCGTTTTTCTTCCTGTCTAATTCTTCTGTTTTGTTGTTTTGGGGTTTGGTTTTTTTTACATTCAGGGGAGGGGGGGTGAGTCATATGCCATGCACACACATAGAGGCCAGAGGACAATTTGCTGTAGTTGGTCTTGTCCTTCTACCATGAAAGTACCAGGGATGGAACTCCAGTGGCCAGATTTGGCAGCAAGGACCTTTGCCTGTGGAGCTCTAACTCTTCTATAGCCAACCCTAGAGTACCAAGTCTGGGTAAAGACCACTGCATCTTATAATCCAGTATCAGGTCCCTCCTGCTGTTGTCTTTCAGTTTTTGTAATAGACCAAATTTTATTCATTGTTATGTCCTTTGAAGAGAACCAAGTGCAGTGAAAACCCTCAATAAGTACTTTCCACACACATAAATGAATAAATTCATTATCCATCCCATTTGTTCAGATTAAACCATACATCTCTAAACATCATCTGATATATCATGAACTACATTCCTATGCAAAAGTTGGAGAGACTGAAAAGGCATTTTTGGATTTTCTGCAGTTCTACAAGGGAAAAATTAATTACTACCTAGGTATTTGTAAGAGAAGAGTCATAAGTATTTATATTGAACCACTTGGGGCGAGAAATGTGCGAATGCCACCATATCAAGAGATGAAGTTAGTCTGACACTTACTTCAGCTAATCTTGAGTGTTTGTGGACCGTCTCTGTTTTATTCATTGGTGTAAGCTGCTGCAAAACACTTCGACTATTTGTCAAAGCCCGTGTCAATCGGGCAAATTTTGTCCAACCTTAAAAATAAGAAAAGGGAGCCTTGGTTATTCATATACAATGAATTAAAAATTATCCATTCTTTCTGACAGTCAAGGGATCTCAGCAACCACATAATATCTGGAAAAAATGGCAAGTATCAAACTTTATTTCTATATAAACACCATTATTTTAAATGTGACTAAAATAATGAACGATTTTTATGTGCAACGTGTAGACTTCACTTGTATTTATTATATAGCCCTTCCCAAGGAGAGAGTTGGTCACAAAATGCTGTGATCCTGCTTTCTGTGGGTTTGTTACTAGAAAATAGCTGCCTATTCAGCAACCCATCTCACTCCTTGCATCTGGGGTGTCCGTGTCCCTAGTTCTCACCAGTAGGATGTAAATGAGAAGCGATACATGCCACATCCGTGTTACGATTTCAGAAGCAGGTGTGGTTTCTCCACATTTCCTCCCCCTTCTACCAGCTGGATGCAAATGGCAAGGCCCCAAGGGACGGCAAAGCTGCTGAATCAACTGCGTAAGGATGCCACAAGCTACCCAGAGTCACCTGCCTTGGACAGTTATATGAACAAGAAATCTGCTTCTACAGAGTCAAACCAATATTATCTCCATGGTAACAGAAATAATATTACTGTATTGTTTGCTACAGAAGCTATTAGAACCCTAATGGAAGCAGTCCTGCTGTGTATGTGGATACAGATGCACACACAAATAAGAAAAATTTCAGTTTCAAACTCTCACATATTCTGTTTCATATCACACATTTCCACCTTCCTTGTAGCATAACAAACTGTTATTGTCTGTCTATTAACTTCAGTAATATCTAAAAGTTATGTTTGGAATATCTAGAAACCTAATAATGTTCTCTGAAAGAGCAGTTGCTTTTGGGAGAAAGGAATGTGAATTTAATGGGAAGGGAATTTCTGCTGGGGCCTCAAATTGCCATTATTAAAATCCTTAATTTTAAATAAACGTCAATGAGATGTGAACAAATAGAGCAAAAGCTAGACATAGTCTGGCCCTGTCTCGATTATCCTTTCTCCAATTATTTCAAAATCTTTGCTCTATTAAAGATTTTGTTAAAACTATTTGGTAAATTCTGTGTTAATTCCCATTGACAGAACAATCACCAAACAGCTCCTTAAACATGAAACTAGCTGGTCCAAAGGAATGATCCTAATGGCACGATGAAATGCCCGACACCACAATAAACACTGAAGAAAGAAATCCTGGACTTACACAAGACTTCTACCTCAACTCATAGGATGCAGGTGACATTGCACTTTACTACTGGTCCCCCAACTAATTATTCAGGCTGTGGATTGCTCCCACAAATTCTGTATGTATTCCATAAATTAGATTGGAAAAGAAGTAAATGAGCACGCATTGATGGAAAACATGTCTTTATTCATTATTTTTTAAATATATTTTATTAAATTTCTGTGAACTTCATACAATACATCTTAATCATATTTTTGGGCTTCATCCAAGTGACTAGAACTTAACAGGTCTTGTTTGCAGAATTATCTGCAAGGTTTCTCTTACACAATATGCTAAAGATAGAATAAAGCAATAGAGATGACAGCAGTCTCCAGAAATTCAACTTCAACATAAAAAAACAACTTGCACTCTCTATCACCAATCTAGACTTCTCTGTGTGACAGACTAGCATGTCTGTTGGCCACTGGCCACCCTCTTACTAAGATATTCCACAGACTCTAACCCCCATCATGTCCAAAATCCACCTTATCATTGCCTTATCTCCATGTCACCAATCCTGAATCCTAGATATAGTCCTAATCTTAGTAAATTAACTGGTGATAATCTTAATTGTCCAAACCAATAATTCAGCATAACCTATACACAAATATCCAAATGCTTACAAGCCTTCAAGAAAATTGTGAATAAATACCTCCCAAACTTAATTTTCTCCCAGCCTTATATGTCAGACAAGATAGGATGTGTTACCTCAACGAGGTGGTAACACTCTGAGGCAAGGCTCTTTCTAAAGCACAAATCTGATTGTGCCCTTGCATTACGATCTTGAATTGTGCCCTTGAGATCTGATTTCAACCTTGCACAGCACCTGAAGACTTCTGGGATAACACTGTGTCCTTGGAATGGGGTCATTTAGCTTATGACCCAAGGATTTATACTATATCCATCTCCCGCCATATTCTTATACGGTATTCCCACCTTACTAAAATTAATAGCAAATTAAGTAAAGAATAAGTTCAAACTAAAATTAACTCTACTGGGTGTGCATTTTACACACTATGATGTCTCACGTTTTTTCCCACTTTATAATCTACAGTCCTAGACTTTCCATTGCTTCCACTATCTGTTACATTCAGACTGAATTGAAGATTTCTTTCTTTCTGGAGGCTTTTTTGATCCACCCAGGAGAAGGAGATGCATCTTCTGTACATCACAGTACTTACTCACACATCATGTGACACTAACATCAGTGAAGTGAAGTCATTGACCAATATAGTTACTTTTGATAAACTAAAGTTGATCTTCTGGGAACTGGAGAGATGGCTCAGCAGTTAAGAGCACTGGCTGCTCTTACAGACGACCCGGGTTCAATTCCCAGCACCCACATGGTGGTAACAACCATCCATATCTCCAGTTCCAGGGGATCTGATGCCCTCTCCTGACCTCCATGGGCATTGCACAACACAGGGGCACTTACATACATGTAAGCAATACACTTCTACACACAAAATAAAAATAATAAAATATTTTTTTAAAGTTTATCTTTCCATGACACCACTTAGTACAGGGTCTGGAATATGACTGATTAATTAGATTTTATTTGAAATGAAACCCTGTTTTGTTTCATTATATTGGGCCTTAATCAGTTTTATTAGGTTGGCTATAAGTGATAAGAGTGTTCTCAGATGACTGTAATTATGTTAGTCATCAGCATGCTAAAACATATCTGATAATTCCTCATTTTACATCAAGTGAATACTATAATTGCATAGGCTGTTCCTAGAAACTTCCTAGCTGATCTTTTTTCCTCACTGAATGCTCATATTTCTGAGAGGAGATGTTGTGCCTCTGTAAATCTGAGAAGTGTTAAAATAGAAGACCATCTCATTCCATGCATATGGTAAAGTTTTCCTGAAAAAAAAAATCTGGAAAAGAAGGAGCAACTAAGGGAACAAATCCAATGATGCAAGGAAGAACACCAACCATCAGACGGCAGGACTCATCTCCCACAACCACTCAGAGAAGCAACGGTGTGAGGCAAGAGACACAGCAATGAAAGCTATTGTCACACTCTGATTTTCTATTTGCAACTGACACCTGGTATTTCATTTCATAATAAGGAAGCAGTAGTGTTCATTTAGATACACACAAAACACTTACTCAAATATGTCAGCATATCTGTATATTATTTCATCAAAATCACATGCAATATAATATACGCAATATGCAACAGTCACAGGTGGGTATAATCAAGGACTACCGCATCCCCCTATATCATTTAAGATTCTTTTTAAAAACTAAGTAATAGAAATATAACATGTATTTTCCTCTAGATGAAAAATGAGAGTATTGCCGAAGAACCACTGTATGAAAAATGTTACATAAATTCATCATTCTAAAAGTGTTTTCAGTCAGTGTATTCTGAGTGAGACTAGCGTTCAACATTGAAGAAAGGGGACTTTACCACCACGATAGCCTTCTAGGAGTATGGCTAGAATATGGCTCTTCCTACCCCTGGTTGTGTCGTAGCATGACTGGCCCATAGGGGGCACTGAATACATTTGGGCTGAATAAATGAAGCATGAGTAGAAAAGTTAAATAGGAATTAACATATCATCTGCATGATATACAATTAAAATCAAAATGTAACAAAGGAAATACACTTAACTTTTAGTAAGTGTTAATATAATTCATGTTATAAAGGAAATGGTTTGGAATGAAAAATGCAAAAAGAATATCCTACTTTCAGAAAGGAATTGAAGAAGTGCTGAGGAAAGCAAGGTGGGGATCAATGAACCCGCTTGGGCATTTGAAAAGACAGAGAATAAGAAGGAAATATTTGAAAAGGTTTCTTCCTTCCTAGAGAAACCAAAGTCAAGCACAATTGTCAGTGAGTACTCATTTAGGGCTTTTGCTATCAGACTGCCCCAGAGGGTAGAGAGCCAAGACAAAGTCAGGGGTGTTCCATTCCCATGTTGATCTCCCGAAGCTCACTGGCCAAAATACTCTTACAGTCCTGGGTTCTAATGTAAGCATTTTTCTGAAAACATTCATACCATGTCTGTCTCCTTACTTTTGCCACCTACCCAAATACTTCATTAGAAACAAATGGAAGTTGTACTAATACAACGACCTTCAACTTCCCTTCTCTTCCCTCCACCAACCCCCAACAACACCTTGTTCTTGCCTGCTCTCCCATCACCTCAAAGAATTAAGTACTTGGGTTTCCTTATGCTCTTGAATACATCCAGAATTGCCTGCATTATTAGTAGCTCAGAGTTTATCTGCTCTTTCACCGATCCCCATGTTACAGTCAAACTTTGAAAAAGTTGAGCAGCCATACTGTCTAGGTCAGAGGAAAAAGATGCATCAGCAATTCTAACTTTCCCCAGTGATACATTTACTGATCTCACCTCTATAGAAACCTAATTGCTGTGACTGATTATTCAGCACTGTTTGCTGATGGTACTTAGATGTGGTCGATATAGGGTAATATGAACAGACAGCTGAGTATGACAAGCCGAATGCTTGCTCTGTAAGTTGTTCATGGCATTATGAGAACATTTGTTCTCCTAAAAGCTCAGGATGCCAACTCCTTCTTAATAAAATATTAGTTTAGCTCTATTGGGTTGCAATTAACCTCTTTGTCATGGACTGCCTAATCTTAAAAATAAAAGGAAGTCAGAGAGGCAGTTAAATCAATCTACTAGACTGCAACACAAGATTCTAATCTATAAGGAAAAAGCTTAGGTAAACAATTATGCTCTTCACCAAAGAGACTGCATGGCATAATTAC